GTTTTTGTGGTGGACGATGAGAGTTGCTGCTACTAGCTTACCGGGTAGCACAAGCACGAAGGGACCCTTAGGGGCGAAGAAAGTCTTAGATGGAGCTGCTAGTCCACATATCAAGCGCCATAAGCATCTTGTTTGATGGATACCGGTGCTGTACAAATCTACAATTATTATTATGATTTTCATGCAATGCTACATTGTACTGAGTAGTGTTATGATTATGGATTGATGTCCGCAGTACCTCTTCTTTTTTGTCAATTTTTTTTTACTTTAGTTATTGTCTTGATTTTTTTTTTCTCCTTCTAGATAAGTGTGGATCCATCAGCATAGCTATGACATCAGTTGATCATCCTAGCATTCCTGTACGAACCATTAAAATCTCGCAGAATACCAAACGTGCCAGCTTTATCATCAGGGACATACTACCAGGCACATACACTTGTAAGTTCTATGACAGTGGTTTTCAAAGGTCAAAGATCAGGACCCAAAATTAGATCGCCAAATAAATTAGGGGGTTTGCAAAACTCATTAGGGTTTAAAGAAATCTGTGTTATACTGTAAAACTGTTTTAAAAAAAACCCCAAAAAAAAAAAATTCCTCTTTTAGAAAAAATATAGTGGAGTATTTTATCCAATTACAACATCAGAGGAAACATCAGTCTGTATCTTGAAGTGTATCATAACTAATTGGCATTAAATCAACTAAACTTGAACTCTGTTTCTTTGAAATTCATGTATAGTAGCCTAATACTAGTATTAGTTGGCCTAATTTAGTAGGCCTTTGCTATTCTGGAAAAGGTATCATAACTAATCGGCATTATAAATCACCAAAACTTGATCTCTGTTTCTTTGAAATTCATGTACGGTAGCCTAATACTAATATTAGTTGCCCTAATGTAGACCTCTGCTATTCTGGAAAAGAAGCCCATACTGGGCTTCTTTTTAAGATTAATTTTGTAAACTAAAGAAGACTTCTTCTCAAGATTAAGCCCATAGATAGGGCTTCTATTCAAGGATTTATTACCATATATATTTATATTATACTGACATTTACTGTAGTAAAGAGAGCGTGTTCTGTATCATTTTTGTTTTGTATACCAGTAAATAAAATTTATAATGCATACTTTGCTGGTACATATCTAATAATTATATTGTTATTATCTTGATTGTAATAATTTTAATAATTATAATAAAATGTCACAGTTGTGATGGCTTTTATCATAATTTATATCATTGTACATTATGGAATAACTCCTTCATTAAATGGTTGTTTTGAGAACAATTTATTTTTCCTGTTAATTGGGACAATACATGTAACTAATATGTAAGTTTGTATAACGATTCATGTTATAGTGAGTGGAGACCATGTTGCCTGGTGTTGGAAGGAACCAGTAACCTTCAAAGTCAGTAACTCTGACCTCAATGACATCAACATTGTTCAGAGCGGCTACAAGCTGCAGTGCCAGAGTTCTCATGCATGCTCTATGGTAGGTCATTCTTTAGATTTTACTCCTTGACATTAAGCAGCTTTCGATTTGGACGACACAGCGTTCTACGACGGGCAGTGAAACTGTACTGCGCATGCGAATACACGGGGAAGTCGTTCGTTGTGCGGATTTGACTATGGGCTTTACGCGATTTTGCGTTGTGCTGATTACGGCAACGTGAGTTTTATAAATATGCGCTCGCTGGGGGCGCCTGCATGATTGGTCACGCGATATGAGGGAGCGTGTCGTCCTGTAAATCGAAACAGCTTTGATATTGAGATGGGAAGTGCATAGTACGACGTTCATGGTTGACTGAATTCCCCGTCGCAGCTCCCCGCATTGCCTATTTCGAAAGCTATCTAATGTCTCACTTTAGGCAACGCTCCCAAAAGCCTAATGCCATGGCGTCGTATGAGGGTCAGCCGACGAATCCAACTTTGCTCCCTGTGAGCGCTAAAAGGCGCAATGCTGTCTGCTGATTGTTGGTGGGAGTGTGAACGGATCGTCATTAAATACGATCGGTTGCGCATGTATTGTTTTTCGTTGTGCATAGAATTGTGTTGGGCGATTACCGTTAGGCACAGTAAGTTCCCAGTTTGACTCCATTTATTAAATCTCCCCCCCCCCCACCCATGGGTGGCAGTCAGGGAGTTTACAACAACAATGCAATATAAATATACATATGATTAAAATACCTAACTATAATACAAACAAATATGTACAATAGATCAACATTCCAATTTCATAAATAGATTTATAGACAATTGATGCAAATCAAATCATATTTTTATACTGTAGTAAAGTAATCCACAGATAAAATTAAATGATGTGCAATCTGTATATAATCTATCTGTTTTATATTTATGTTATTTATTTATGTAATTTTGGACAATATAATGTCTTGTATCTTGTAATAACTTAAAAACCTAAATGCAGAAGTTAATTGAAATTGTTTTAATTATCAGCATTCATTAAGCTATATACATGAACTTTATAAGATTGATTATTTAAATACTTATTTACCAGAAGTTATAATAATTAATAGTAATAATATTAATGCAGATATTTTAGGTTGTATGATTATTTAGGTAATAATAAATGCAATGATTCAAACCAATATAATTTATTATGTTGTTTTTAAATATTTTGTGGTTAATCTATACTAGATTTTGTGGTTAACTATTGTTAGAATTGTTATAATTTTTAAGGTTTTAATAATATTTATTTCTTTGTTAACCGTAAAGCAATATCGACACATTTCTGTGGCCAAGTCCAGTGGTGAATTTGCAGTTGTGAAAGGTAGCAACACGTTCTGCGTGGATACCCCAGGGCAATATAAACTCACAACCACCTCTTGTCATCAGTTTGACAAAAAAGAATACCAGTTTGACACGTAAGTGATATAAACAAACCAATACATACATAGATTAGGTTTGTATACCGCCCTCATTGTTGATTATTGTAAAATTGATAATGATTTCAATTACTGAGGGTGATGATAACTACATATGTCTGATTTTATGGTGGCATCTCTTTCTTTATGTGTTTGTTAGTCATGATGCTATTCAAACAAAAGAGCGGGGAGTGCCTCATAATATAGGTCTGCCACACACTAGATTATCAGAGCAAAATCCTAGCGAGTCACTGTATGCTCCAATAATTTACAGTAAATCTTTTATTCCAGCAAAAGCATTGAAATACAAATTACTGATAGCAACAGTCTTTTTGCAGACCTAAAGAAAACATTTTTTGTTCCTTTGACCATGTTGTTATTTCAATGTGTGTTTGGTCTCTTATACACATCTAGATGTGTATAAGAGACAGGTTCATGGTTGACTGAATTCCCCGTCGCAACTCCCCGCGTCGCCAATTTCGAAAGCTCGCTATTGACTTCTTTACGACGGGAGCTATTGGCAATGAAGCATCAAGTCCAAGGGTCAATTGTTTCCAAGGAAATGGCCTCTGACATTGTGGTAAAAATTACATCATCCGTGCCATCTGAAGCACCAGTGACCCTTGGACCCCTGAAAGGCAAAGTGTCACAGACAGCTGAGTTGAAGGAACCTGCTAACAAAGATGGAAAGGCAGGTGGTCAGAAACCCGGTGCTAAAAAACCAGCTGAAAAAGACAATAAATACACCTATGAATTCACACATTGGGCAAGGTAATCTTGTACTGAACTTCAAAAATAATCTTAAAGATGAAGAAAAAAACTAGGCTTTTTATGTATATTTCCCCATTGCCATAATGAGAAGTGATGTTAAAATTACAAAAAAAAAACAAAACAAAACAAAAAACAAAACAAAAATAAACAATCTATAAATTCAGTATTGGTATAAATAGCTCATTATATTGTAATTGCTGTTGTGATTATTTAAGATTGTTATTATTGTTATAATATCATTAATTTTTTATTAATATTACTTTTATTATATTTGTTTATAGATTATGAACTTTCAGTGATTCTATTTCATTTGTTTATTCATATTAAATATGATATTAAATCCCATATTGTTAATTGTTTTTATTCTTTCCATATCGAGTTAGCTCTATCTGTACAATGTCAAATTTGTGCGATGTGCCCATATTTGGGCATAATGATGTCATATTGCACCAAAATATGGGTATTTTACATTGAGGACAAAGTTTAAGGCATATACTTTAAAGAAACATTATCTTTATCTTAATAGGCGTGGTGAAAATCTCAAGTTTGAACCAGTTTCTGGTGAAGTTCTTTTTTACCCAAAAGTCTTAGAGGTCAAAGTAAAAGGTGGTAAGTGAGAAGGATTCCATTCTTAGTGTCACTGAACAGTGCTCAGTACCATGAATATATTGGCTCTAGATAATTAATTGTTTTATTAAATGATTATTTGATCATTAAACAATGCCAAACATATTTACCATGTATTTAATGTAGTAGGATGGCCGTTTCGTGGCAAAACAACGTAACTTAAAATTTTCACTTTACGAGAAAAATAGTTAAAATTGGCATGTTTGCAACCTGGCAATAAATTATCATACTCTTGATAGACTACTACTACATATCTATGGACATGATTATATGTAAAATTTTAATTACAAGTCTTGGTTTATTGCTGAGTTATTAAAAAATATTCACAAATACGTTATTTTATTACTGAAACATGTCAGTGGCAATATTGTTGCAAGTGCGACATATTTTTTGAATTTATCACTTATGGGGCAATTATATGCATTCTCTAACTTGTGCATTCATTGTCGTTAGGAATATGATTCATGTTGTGGCAAAATGGCTAAGTTGTAGCCAAAATTGAAATCCAAGTTAAAGTTATTTTCAGGTACCTGAGTATGTGATCTTTAAAATGAGTGGTTATTCATTGAAATTCGACGTTTCAAGCATAAGTTATTTGAAAGTGAAAGTACAGCACCCTTAGAGTCAAAATAAACATAATTTTGAGTAATTGCCTTTCAAAGCTATTTGTGCATACATTGTTTAACAGAATTAACTATCAAAACAACGTTAAATAAACGATTTGTTGACCACTTCCAGATTTAATACTTTGGGACATGATTAATAAGACATTAAACTGTTGATTTATAGTAAAAAAAAAAAATTAAAAAATTGGATTATTAGGCAATTTTTTGAGCTCCTATTCTTTATAGCTCATTTACTCAATACTGGCCTGTGTGACAACTATTTCGCGACAACTTGCCTCATCATATTGATATGAAAACACCATCATCCAGTTGATTTTTCTGGGCCAAACTCCATCAGCTCAAAACAATTTTTGAATACCATTCCGAGTTAAAAACAACGTATCTTCATCGTAGATTTTTTGCCTTAAAATCTTGCAGTTACATTGTTTTACCATGGAAAATCACTAGATTTTAAGTTTTGTGATTTAAGGTAGGTGGTGCTGTCTCCGAAACGACTCATTGTTGAGACCTGAAATTTTGTAATTCAGAAGTGTTTGGTATACTCCCAAATGGTATTATCTCAAAAACGACCAAAATTTCAGTTCTGTGTTTTGCCTCGGGACGGCTGAGAAGAATAAACCCATAATTCACAGCGTCATTGTGCTGAATTGTGTATGGGCGTAGTCTGTGACTTCTGTTTCATGTTCATATCATTTCACATGTTTGTTTATCATGTAATAATTGCGCTTTAATTTGAATACCCTCAGACACGTGTCCGGGTGAGGTTGTGGCATTTGAGGCTAGGGCTGGTATCTTTATCTCGGGCCAGATTACTCCCCCAATTCAGGCAGTTGTGATAGAAATTCATACTAAAACACCAGGTAGTTCAGGAACAGTAGATGTCATCAGAACGGAGACAGATGATCAGGGAAAGTATCGGTAAGTCGGTCAAGCAGTAAACTAACTTGATCTAACTTGAACGTGATTGGGCAAAAGAGAAAAAATTAATCTTTAATCTCACAAGCTGATGTCATCATTACTTAGGAGCCTGCCTACTTTCAATTCTTGTTTGTGATACTCTGTGAATAATAATAAAATTATTAGTATTTAAATGTTCTGTTTTGGTTTTCATACTTCATTAAAATACTGACCATTTATTGTCTTGTAATGGTAGCCATTGGTAAGACAGCACTGTATTGATTGTGGCTTCCCTTTTTTTTAGGTAACCATTAATGCTTCAATAAGCGCTGTGGCGCTTATAACAATTTTGGAGGCTTCAGTGTGGCGCTTATTCGAGAGCGGCGCTTATAAAAAAATATTGGCGTGGCGCTTTCTGTGCCTGTTCCCATGGTACCTATCTCGCTTATTCCCGTAGTTCAGTAGGCATATCATAGATCCTACGTTATCGTAAATAAACATTTATAAAGTAATGCTTGTGTCTTCATTGTGTTACTTATTCATTTTGATGCTGTATACATTGTATTTAAAACCCTTTTTCTTAAAGTGTTTCATTACACACAAGGTAATATTATACACTTGTTTAAGTGCCGCGGCGCTTTGTGAACAAAAAAAAACAGGTTTGGTGTGGCGCTTATTCGATCATTTGCGGTAAGTGGTACATGTCCATTGAAAATATACAATATCTGCGACAGTTGACAACAATCTCTGGGCTTGTCTCAGTGACATTCTGAAGACTTGCGCCTGTGTAACTATTGATGTATGTAGCAATTGTGTGTTCTCTAGGATGAGTCTAAGCGTTTATCATTATGTGGACATCTTGAGTAGGCCAATAAATCAGGATTCCTCTTTTTGCATTGGTGTGTTCTAAAGGAGAGGTTAAAGCCAACACCTCTGGTATTTAGTCAACCGCAGTTAGGAATTAAATGTATCATCCATCTATGGAGCTGCACAATTTAGTTTCTGTAGAACTAACTCTCATGTAGGATGGTTCGAATTTGCTTAATTCTATTAAGGTCAGTGCACAATGATATTATTTACTTTGTTCTTAAACTTTTTTTTCGCTTTATGTCTTTACAGAGTTGGTCCCTTTGTTGACACAAATGAGTACACAGTAGATGCAGAAAAGAAGGGTTATACCTTGACGCCACAACCTGACAATCCAACTAACTTCAGAGCCTATAAGCTTGGTGAAATCATTATTCAGGTAAAAGTGCGGTACGATCTGTAAGACGAGAATTTTTTATACCTTATAACGAACTTATTTTTGAAAAAGATTGTTAGATTTGGGGGAAAGAAACAAAAATTTTTTTTTCTTAGCACAAAAGCATCCAGGAAAAAAGAAATAACATTTTATTTGATTGTGTAAGTAGCATAGCAATGGGATTGATATATGTATTGTTTTAAATATATATAATTAATGAAGAAATACAGATATTTTATTTTGGGAGATTTCAAGTGGGAATATGTTGGTCTCTCGTGAGGGAGTGAGGTCGAAGTTAAATGCACAAGATACATGAGACCTGAAAGGTCTGATTATTTTTCTTCTTTTTATAGGTGGTGGATGAAGATGACCAGCCTCTAAGTGATGTTGTACTGTCGTTGAGTGGTGGTAGTTTCCGTAGCAACCAGATTACTCTTCAAACAGGAAAAGTTCCATTCTATTTTCTGGGAGCTGGCCAGTATTATCTTCGTGCATTTCGCAAGGAATACGAGTTCGAACCAGATTCTAAGGTACCTTAAATCTTCGGATAAGCTTCTCCTTCCCAACATTTAATGTAATTGTTGCCTATACCCGTGCAATAATACAATGTTGTTTGTTTGTATATAGTACTATTTAGTTCTATGTACTAACAAAGAATACGGTTTGTTAGTATCATATAGTTCTAAATAGTAATAATTTTGATGGGTCGCGCACTCGCTTCAGATAAACAACCAATCCCCGATGTATGTAAGTAAAGCTTGGCTTCCACAAAATCGCTACACGCTATAGCCAACAGCTTTCTTTGATTCTGATTGGTTGGTCGTATCGAGGAGCTTTCCCAATTGCGTCGGGGACTGCTATGCAAGTAAAAAAAAAAACTATAGCGACAGTGTAGGAAATCTTAAGGAAAACCAGGCTTTAGTTTAACATTTACCATGTGTATACATTTCTGTGTTGATTAACTTAAACAGGAGCCATTGGTAATTTTTTTCATAAAAGCAAAAAAGACATCAGCTAAGTTGTTACCAAGTTTCTAATGCCATTCACGACAACGACATCGATATGTGAGGCTGGTTTATTCTCGCGTTTTAGGTGATATGATGAGATGATTTTTAACTAATTTAGCGTAATTATTTTTCTCTCAATAGTGGCAGTGGTGTATCTAGCAGGTGTGCGCACAGGGGGCACTCCCCAAAAATACTTGCACTCCAATCCAGTCAGGTCCCCACCCAGGCAGTCTCCCCACCCCAGCCTTCCTTACAAGTTAAGAATAAACTTCACTTAAACCATTGACAAGGCAACCCCCATCTAACATCCATCCAAAATCAATGTATTATTATGAAATGATGCCTGAATAAGAAGTGAAGTGATCGTCAAAATGACCATGTCAATCCCCCGAGTGACCTTTATTCCATGAAAAATTAATATAGTTTCGTGGCCTGAATATATGGGAGTAGTAGTCTTCACAGCACACAGAAGATCGCCATAGCTTAGCTGACTTGGTGCCGGGGCAAACGTGTGTATGTGTAATGTTTCATTGACCCTCCCATAGGAAGATTATGAGCTTACATTGCATCCTACTCTTCCCATACGACTTACGAAAGCATTAGTCCTATATTCACAAAACTGTCTTATATAAAGAGTAAGCCCAGAAAAGCACCATGTTAAAAGTGTTATCTGGACACAGAACTTAGTAGCATAACTCAAAAATTATGACCAAATCACAATTCGTAGGCAATTTCAAATCAGTGTAGGTCTTTTGCGAAATAATAACTTGATCAAAATTCAATTTCTTATCTGTGAATTAACTAGATAAATTAATATTCCTCCATTAAACTGCAAGGAAGACAAATACATAATGATACAATGAATAACAGTGTATTGTGAAATATACACAATATGCAATAATAAAACATGAGTTATGACATGATGAAATATATATGCTATGCATTATACTGAAAATACCATAAAACCTCTAACCCACAACGCACAACGTACATGTTATTGTTAATTATAAACAATATACAGTAATAAATCATGAGTTATGAATACAGGATGCTATTTTTCAATTTGTAAATACCGTTGAATTTCGAGCAGTTTGAAGCATTTTGAAATAATTTATCACACTCTGATGAAGTGTACTATCACTTTATTAATTTTGTTAAAAGTTTTTTAATGAAGTGCCATGTTTGCTTCTGCTAGGTCTTTTACTGATTGCCCTTTTATTCTTGGTTAGCAGACAGACCTTGTAGGACACTGATCATGAACAGATCTAGCAAGTGATAAAAACATAGTACCTAATAGAGCACAAAAATTGAAGGGCAATCCAGATTTTTTTTGTAAAAATGTCATTAGTTTTACAGGTGTCCAGAGGTCACTCATCCTGAACACAAATTCAAAATGCTTACCATATATACTCGCATGTAAGACGAGGCTTAAAATGGCAAATTACGATTGAAAAACATGGGGGTCTTCTTGTACACACGACATACAAAATTCAAATTTATTAAATTATGCTCGTACATATAAAAACTTTTCAAATGGTATGATTTTGGAAGATTGGCCTTGCAATGAAACGGGGGTAGTCTTATACGTTATTATTTATATACGGTATACATTTTCAGAATTCAAAGATTTTAACATTTTCTACTGGAGGAAAATGGCACCATGGGGAGAATATTATTTTACTGTGTAGTGTAAAAGAAGTTATTCTAGTTATAATTTAGTTTTATAGTTATTAATAGAATATCTTTAGTAAACATCATGTTGCTATGTAGTTTTGAAAATAACATTGTTAAATTTATATAGCAAGCAGTCAATCAAGAGAATACACAGAGAACACCAATGGTAATTTATTATCTTCATACTAGAGAAAACATCTTTGGTACAAGAAGTCTTTTCCTAGATTTCTTTATCATTTATGTTTCTTATCATTTCATAATTATATTCATGGAATGTCTCTATTTATTTTTAATACAGATGATTGAAGTTCAGGAAGCATCTTCTGTAAACCTCACAATCCGAGGTCATAGGGTAGCATTTAGTTGCTATGGTACAGTGACCTCGCTAAATGGTGAACCAGAGCCAAACGTTGCGCTAGAGGCAAGAGGCCTGGCTATCGGTAATTGCGAAGAACTTATGGAAACTGCTCTTTCTGATTCTAATGGGGAATTCCGCGTCCGTGGATTAAAGGTATACATATTAATTATTGACTTTTTAGATACTCTATTTATATTATGACAGTTACACTTACCGAATGCTTAGCTTTAGTTAAAATTTGACCTTTAAAAAGCATACGCAGATGTACATGTTTCTGGGACAACTTCATGAAGTTATTAAACATGTGCGTATATATGGCCATGTTCTGACTGTTTCAGTTGTTAAGTTTTGATTGAGGGTCCATTACTTGACTTGTTAACATGTTGACTGCCAAGCAGGGTTCGTACGCGTCCTTAAATTCCTTGAATGTTCTGGAAAAACAAATGAGCATTTTACAGTACTGGAAAGTCCTGGAAATTTAAGATTGTCCTTGAAATTTGATCATTTACGATTAATTGTAGTACTACAAGTGGCCTAGTAACAGTAAATTGAATGAGAAACGTTGGAGTTGTTCGCCTATGTGTTAGTAAAGGCGGTGCTTTTTTTTTTAAAATCTTGTATATTAATTATGTTTGCATTTCATTTTAATTCAGACATTGATAATCATAATCGTTAACTTTCTTGACATCTGCTATGGTGTTATTTGCTTTCTGTCGTGTGTTATAAACAGTACTGAAATACTAAACTTTCAATCAGTTGAACAGGTCTTATATCGCACGTGCTCATCCCCGTGAATTCACTTTGGGTAATTCATCACTCTCCAGACGTGCACACTTGTTCAGCACGAATGGCCATGTTTTGGCCCTATCCAGCGCAAGGCAGTTAATTAACAATTAAAGTAACCATGGGAACATGTACTTCTGCAGTTCTTAGTAAATGGTGTTTAAATGGCGTTTACTGTTAGAAGTTCTTGAATTTAGGGCAACATATTTTCTGAAGTTTACAAAATCATTGAAAAACAATGCTGGTCGGCAGCAGATCAGTGCCGAATTAGAGTTTGATAAAACTTAATATACACTCAACTAACATGCATTTAAAAGTAGTACAGCATATATGTTTTATAATCAGTCGTAAAATCCCCGATATTTTACTGTTAAGCTATATATTGTGTCCTTGAAATTTTTGAAAATTTGACCTTGAATGTCCTGGAATTGTCCTTGAAATTTGCGCGTTTAAAAACATACAAACCTTGCCAAGGCTCTTTCTTGGTTCCGTCCCATATGCCAAGGTATAAAGGGCTCCACCATAATATAAATCATCCCTATGAAGTGTATTAAACAACAAAACAAACATACGGTAATTAATTTTTGATTTTTACTTCTGGATTCTTCCTTGAACATTCGGGGCGAGAGTTTGTGTTCTGGCAACCACTGCCAGAGAGTTTACATGCAATACAATAAGTTCGACAGGTGTGGACATGGACTTGCGTTTTTTGCCACTTTGAATTAATCTTGTCAGATGTGAACTCACGTCTGTTGTAGTAGTGACTTAATTGTTAAAACAGTGATAACTCGGCTAATTTTTCCTAATTGCAAGATAAGATAATTCTTATTTTATCTTATTAAAATGATGCTGTTTACCTCAAATTCTACAGCCATCTTGTGTGTATGAGTTGAAACTTAAAATGAAAGATGGCAGAGATGAAGATAATCCAGTTGAGATTGAGAGAGCAGTTCCTCCTGTCACCATACTCAAGGTATTACTTTGGTACAATGTGTGAGGTCTGTCCTCAAAATTAGTCATAAATCAGAAATTGATTTAATGATATGTTCGCGAGGATTACAATACAGTATAAGCATTAATTTGTTCTTTGAATGACATTCCTAAAATAGATCCAAATATGTGAGCTTTTAAAGTTAAGATACAAGTAAAGCTAGTTTTAAAATATCAGCCACATATATACAGCATAATTACCTTGACTCTTAAATTACTCAGACATTTTAAACAAGCACATCTCCTCAAAGATTTTATAAACAGTTTGAATAGATCTGAACATTTGCCTGGCAATGTAATATTAAAAGATTCTTGCAGTTTACCGCTTAGATAGTTCTGGAATGAACTGTTGTTTGTGTGAGAGTGTCTTGACGTTTCGATTTAAGTATCTGAATCGAAGCGTTGAGTTATTCTCCTGATGATTGAAGCAAATCAAGCGAAACACCACAACACTCAACAATATCAACGTTTCTTTTCAGAACTATCTACATGCAATCATTTATTATACGATAGATCTGTAATATGTCTTCATCCTGTCACTATATTATTATAAATTCCCTTGTGCCAACCATTTTTTAATTAAAATATAAAGATTAACAGCATTTAGTAGTTCTTCTTTAATTCGGTCTACTAAATACCATTTTTCTTTCTTTTTTTTTAGCCTGAAGAGAAGGATATAAAAGATGTTAAGATCATCGTTTTTAGGAAACAAACCACATTTGATGTCGGTGGAAATGTGATAACAGACAGCCAGTTTGTGAACACATTAAAGGTATGTGCAATGTCGGGTCAGCAGCTTACTTGATAACACAAATATGTATCAAAGACATTGATTTTTGGTTACTAATACAAGGTTAAGCAGTAAAATTATAGCTACGAAATGGTAAAAGATTAAAATCCAACATTTCGTTATGACGTTACAGGAGTTTGAACATACAGCCGTTTAAAGAATGATATTTGAAAAATCAGCCGTCAAAGTTTATGATTTCGGGCATTTCTCAGGCAGAAACCATCACCAAATCGTTAAAATTGTTGTTTTAACATTGAAAATGGGGAAAATAAGAGCATAGCATGATATATAGATATTATAAAAGTTTCGTTTAGTGCAAAGATATTATAAAAATGGTAAGTTTAGTGCAATAAAATAGATTAAAAAATGTTGACATATCCAGCAACTATTATCTCTGAAACAGGATTTTCGACGAGTGACTGGTTTGGCTTGTTTTTTGCCACATAAATATTAGATCTTTCCACTAAGCTCACCCCTTAGATATTTTTGTTAAGATCCCACAAGACCACAGTTTTAAGTTTGATTGATACTCTGGAAGAGCATACTTCCTTGTTAGGGCGGAAGTAGGTATTGATTAAACTTGTTTTTAGGGCCCCCCCTTCTCAAACCAAGCAAAATTCTAGATCCGCCCTGTGATCTACTATTACAAGTTTTTGAAGTTAACAATATCATCTAAAAAACTTAAATAAAGATATTTTTCCAATAAAATAACCTTTAGAATGTTATACTTCACATTTTTTTACCCTTTGGAAACTGTTGTCACAATAGTTGTCACATTGTGCAACAGTGTAGTATTTCCGTATCTGATATTCAGACCAAAATATTAATATATACACAACGCACCCTCTCCCAACAACGATACTCTTCTTTTTATTACTTCAGGTATCCATTTATACCCCTGGGTGGAAAGAAATATAGATAAAACTCTTTCTTTATGAACACAAACGAAGTGATAGTCAGATTCGAGATTTTTTACAGTAAACACAAAACAGTCTCTAGAGGCCTGTTTATACTTGCAACGATCATGATAACGATAAAAAGCTAAAAGCAATTGTTCATATAGAAAATAAAAGACATAAGGGAAGTTTTTACACTAGAAGATACGATTTATGGTGTATACGATAACAAAATATTTTTAGAAATCAATTCAAATGACGTCATAACCATGGAAAGACGATAAAATCGTTGATACTACTACTAGGGAATATGGAAATTAACATTTTATTTTGGATTATTATTTTTTATTTTATTTGTAAGTTAAATATATTTATTGTAGTTACTACTCAAATATCTCTGTTGAAATTTTATGTCACTATGTTTGCAGCCTTAAATATATCAAAGATATTTATAAGAATAATATTATTATTTTTTTTAATATTCTTTGGCTTTTTCCGATACTTTTATTACCCACTAAAACATTATTATTATTACAGGTGGTTGTTTTTAAAGAAGATGATTTGGACTCACCTATTCACACTTTAGCACTTGGGGCAAGCAGCTTTTTTCAACTTCCATCTCTTCCAATGGATGGACAGGTATGTATTTAAATTTTACAACTAAATTCACAGTTAGGCAAGACTTTCTTAATACCTTAATTTTGTTATCGTCAAAGGATTGCAGAAGAAAAATAGAAATAAAATTTCTTTTCCTTTTAATAGCAAAATGATTTTGTCAAAAGTACCTTAGTGGAGAAGTCAACAAATAGAAAATGTTAGTGTTGAATGTAAGCAGTGTGGTAATGAGATTGATGCCTTAAATTCAAATAGTTAGATATAGATATCATATTGTTTTAGATTTCAGGGGAGCGGAGGGCGTGATAAAATAAAAAAAAAATATCTGAATTTTCAATTTTTGTGGCGTAGGTACGTGCGCTTACTAACCAAATTTTATTTGTATTCTAAATCACCGTTATTGGCAGTCAAATGTTTCGCTAAACAGACCTGTTTAAAATATAGTTTCGTCTTAAAGGTCACAGTTTGTCTAACTTCTCCATATTTCCATCACCATATTCAGCTATTAGGTCATTGACTCAAATGTATGTCTGTTTGATCGTTATAAGTTATTAGGATTTGTAGTGTATTAAAATACAAAAATGCATAATTCTTTTGGAAAGATAATTTTATTATCTTATCACAACCCTTTTTAAAAACATTTATATCATACTTTTTGTACACAGAGCCTTAATCCTCTGTATTCTAAGTGAATATACCAGTGTTGATACGTGTTCTTTTACTGTGAAATTCTCATATATGTGATTCATAACATTTAATTTTTGCAGTTGTTGTGTATGTACATAAAAAAACAATTTTAGTATATTTTTATAGCTTACTTGCAATTTAGCAATACACTAGCCAGATACTCTCATGCAAATGTTACCATTCTCTAATGTGGTTTCAACTATTTAAATCTATTATATTAATTATTTTATATTTTTTATTCTGTAGTGTAAAGCCCTGTTATTCAATCATTATGTTGACCCAATAATCCAGCCATGCTAGCACGGCGACCCAGCCTCCATCTATTACTTCATTCACAAATCCTTATCTCGGAAGTACTGTAGTTTCTATTTTAATTACTGGAAAATGTAGAAATGGCTTTAAGAAATTAGATCTGTCACTGTCAATAAAAAGGGAGTATTGAAATATGTAAACTAATATGGCTTATATCTTTCTTTCTCGAAAATTGGATTTTGCATGAATCTAATTATATCAAATTCTTATAATTATTCAAAAATTACTGTACATCAAGAATCCTTACACCCATTTCAATGTACTGTACTGAAAAGGCATGCAACATCTAAATGGCTGTGGGAATAAAAAATATCTTATCAACTTGCTACTCTTAAAATATTGATCATTTCAAACATGCACCTACTTGCTTGACATTCTTGTAAATATTCAGAAGCTTGTTCTGGATCGCCACTAAACAAACTTGGAATCATTAAAAAGCATAATTTTCATTCATTTTTATTGTAATCCATAATATTGAAAATAACTTCAAAACAGTCAGTTTATAAATTCAAAACAGATATTCACAATACATGTGGCCCGCTATGCAATTTTACGGCCTATATTTTTTCTTGTATTTTTGAGCGATTATTATTCACGGTTTACTGTATTTAAAAAACTGCATAATAAGGTCCTTATGTGTGTAAAACAGATACCTGAAAAATACAGTTTATTGTTCTCGACTATGAATTGAAGCCTTTACATGGCGATTGTTGGCTACGTTTTTGTACTGAATTTAAAGTTTCTGATTTGGTCCAGGGAATATCTTTACATCACTAGGTATAGTATCAAATTCATAATTAGCGTAGGACCAGGGGTAGGCATAAAAATATGTAGGAGGGCCAAAGTGAGTTTATGATTTATGTACATTAATCAGCTAGTACTTTTTTTTATTGAGCGAAACTACAAAGTAAATTATTGATGACCCTATAATATGAATGAACAGGAGTGCAGTATTAAGCATATTTTGTACTTGTAATTTTTGTCCCACCGTGCATAGTATACAGTACATACTGTACATGTCTAAGTCTTTGTTTTATGTTTATTCATTAAATCATAAAAAAAGAAAAATCAAAATAAATGTGTGGCAATCCTATTTGATATTTATGTAGTTGAGTTTTATACTGTTTATTGCAGAAAGCAAGTAATTTGTACAATATCATGTTTTAATTAATTTTAAATCTTGTTTTGTAATTTCATTATTTCTAATTTATTAAATCATCTGGTTTTTTTTTATAGGAATATGTAATGAAACTTGAGTCATCATTGTCAAAATCAAATTATAATTACAACACTCAGGAAGCCAGTTTCATTGCTGAAGGTGTCTACCAGCATATCACTTTTGAGTTCAATCCTGAAGTATGTTCTCCTTTTCACTTTTTTTTTTTTTTTCTTGGTGGGGATTTGATTAAATCATGTTAATGTTATCTGCTTGTGCAGGCTTTAGATTTTCAAGGCAATAAAGATCTAGTACAAAGATCTAGTAAACGATTTTTGTTCGTAGGTATTACCTGCTGCTGCGAACAAAAACCTTTCACTAGATCTTTGTTAGGTATTACCTAGATTAAAGGTATTTAAGTCTCTATAACCAGCATTCTTCACCGTAATAACTGAATTGCTAGGCTTTGACTGGTTCTAGACAAAGAGAGATTTAACGATGTCTGGCTGAAACAAAGCCAGAAGTTGTAGTCTACAGTACTGGTTAAATCTAAGTAATGTTTACAGCCCGTCAACAATACAAACTGAGGTATCCAAGCCTGGGCAAAAATGGACAGATGGATGGATGGATAGATTTATGCAGTGTAAACACGAAGGATAACCCGTGAAAGTCTGAAAATCTTTTTTTTCCAGTGGTGTCTTTCTGGTGGTGATTGGGCATTACACCGGTAGACAATTCCATACAGTTTTTTTCCCGAAGAGTGTACTGCGTTCTTTAACATGCACATGAGCCATGCACACGGGACCAACGGTCTCATCAGAATGACGGTGCGCTTTTGTAGCTTACTTTTCAGCCCCCTAGCTGAAATACATAGAGAGCAACGATGAGAATTGAACCAGGGACCTAGAGATCTCTATGGTTCAGTACACACACTGTTGCTACCACCAGCTTAGCTGATTGAGCTAAGCTGCCTAAATCCCAACTACTAGTATAAGAACGTGAACAGCAACTGACGCACAAACTGCTTTTCAGCTACGAGTAAATGACATTAAGTTGCAATAGATATCCATTATTTTGTTAATACAATGTCTAGTAATAAAGGTGTTACATTTAATTATGTCTTTCAAGTTACTAACATAATTGAAACAACTTAACACCTCACTATCTTGAAGAAAATGTCCTCCTATTAACAGATTTTGATTATATTTAAGATTGTAATTATTTTCTGTATCTAATAGTAATGTAGAATTCAGTCTATGCAAGGATGATTTTTAACAACATTCATAAAGTCTGCCTTAGATTAAAATACATTTAATTGATGAAATGATGAAGAGCATAATATATTATAATAACTATTCTCTAGTTAGATTATCTGCAGAATATTGAAAAAAGTATTCTGTCTATAAGTGGAAGCTTTTAACTTGGAAATGAAATTAATGCATTTGCCTATTGTGTGTATTTTTTTTTTTTTTTTTTTTTTTTCAGAGGCGAAATATTGATCAGGATTTCTCTCAAGGGTCTTACTTTGCATTGCCATTCATTGTAGCATTAATTGCCATCGGTTTCAATCATTCAAAGGTAAATGTATTTCAGTTGTCTGCTTTCTCTTGATTTAATTTGCATAGCTAAAGCGAGACTTATATACCTTGTTTAGCGAACCATGCTGCCCGCCAATAATGATGATTTAAAATAATTTAATTTATTTTTGGCCAAAAAGCGCACCTGCCTCCACAAAAAAAAAGGAAATTTCAGAAAAAAATAAACCTTCCTAATTACTGTATGTAAATTTAAAGCATTCAACCATCCCATTACTACGCTGTTTACATTCACTAATAAAATTTGATTTTAATTTTCTCCTCCGTCTATCAAAACTATTTTCTATTAAAAAAGAAAATTATTTTTTTCCCCGTCATCTGACAATATGTTAACTATTTTTTTTTTCCATTATCTGACAATATGATGTTAAAAACTAAGTTTCGCGAAACAAGGAATAAAAAAAGTCTTGTCTAATTCTGTCTTTCACAAACTGCAGGAGAAAAAACCCATTCCAAATGTTGACAGTTTCATCATGTTGGTGTGTCTGTAAATCAGTTATCATGGCCTGATTTTAATTATTAAATCTATTTGTGAATATTTACTTCAGTAAACCGCTTACTATATTGCCATTTTCCTTTAAACACCCTTTAAATTAATAGAATCATCCATCTCAGAGAACCATACACCTAACACTAACCACCACATGCATCCTCATTCCTCTGTCACTTTTAAACTATTAATTCTATAAGGGATGAATCTTTTGAAATGTTGAAATAAGCAACAGCTGATGTAGTTCTTATTTGCAAGGAACTTAGTTTTGTTAACAGTGGCGTATCTAGAAGTCTAGAATTACAGGGCTGATGGTAGGGGCGTGAAGGTAAAGTGGGGGACTCAATGATCAGTTGAGGGGCGCTAATTTGCAAAATATGGTGATTTTAGTTGATTTTTAACTACTTGACCGTAATTTTTTTTTTTTTTGAGGCGGGAGGTGGAGGGGGGGGGGGGGGCCAAGGGGGGGGGGGGGTAATTTTTTTGGGGGAGAGCATGCGCCCCACCCCCTCCCCTAGATACGCCACTGTTTGGTAACCACCAGTTCATGCTTCTGTTTTATGCTAAGGCCAAGCAGTTGTAATTGAAGACTGCAACAAGGCAGTGTCTAACGAAAAGCGCCAGCAGGTCGAGTGATCAGTCACAGAGATTGAATAGAAAAGCTGTCGCCCAGACCAACAACTTGATTAAGCTTTATATATGAGAAGCAGCATTATTTTTGCCCATCTGGAATTTAAATTTGCTGTACATTATCAAATACCAAAAAAAAGTACAGTCTCTATAACACTTAGCGTGTAATTATGCCAGAAGTGTACTGTAGGTCTTTCGTGAGGGTTTCTAAAAATGGAAAATGCCTTTAATTTTAACAATTTGCGTATTTAGTATGTTGTAGGTAATTTTTATTTTTTGGAGTATTTTCTTATATTTATATTCTATGCATTCAGGTTTTACCATTTCTAAAGCAAATTGGAGAATCTTTCCAAAAACGAAAGCCAGTTCCAGTAAGATACGATTCTCGGGAGCAGATGGATGAAGCCCGTCAAAAGAAGAAGACAAAACTAAGAAAGACATGAAGGAAAATAGAAGAATACAAAGAAATTACACGGATGGAAAGAAAACTTGACAATTACAAAGAAACTTAATATCGTAAAAACAATAACCGTAAATATGCAAGATATTGTGTTACAACAAGAATGTTGACTAGGAAAAGAAAATAATCAAAAATTATGAGGATGTGAAAAAGAAAGGTCGTAAAAGAAAGTTCATGCCATTATTGAAAGAGTGTACTATCGAGTATGGCATAACAATAATTTTTTTTATAATTTGCCCAGGCTTTGCTCTGCACACTGATTACAATCCCTACTGGTTCCCTGGCCCCATAACTTGATGGGATGACTCGATCTCAGTAGTCCCTCCATTACTCTCAAATTGTTCCACTGCTAAAGACAATGCGTTGATTTAATAAATTCCTGAGTACTAAGACAAACAAGGCTTGATTCTTAATATTCTTGATATAGGTTTAAAATAAGGTTGTAAAGGGTTATTTTATTATTTAATAGGATTTTAAACAAAATTATAGATGCATAATTAAATCACGTTGTTTTTTTCTATTCCTGAGTGGGGGGGGGGGCGCTAGGAGGTGGTAGGGAGAATGGCATTTTTCCATATCATATCCACAGCATGTTTCCATATTATATTCACAGACTGAACACATGATGAGGAAATATCTCAAAATGGAATTCTCAAAAATATCTGTGTGTGCTGTTAATTACACCATTTGAATCAGTGTACACCCTATTACCTATTGGATATATATAGAGCTACAATAGTTTATACACAGTTCCTTTTAGACTTCAACGCCAAATATTATTAACCTGCTGAGAAAACAGGTTATTTACAAGGTTAGGTGCTGCACATCATTCATATAATCATTGTAGTGCTTGGGGGCTATTATTAGTGCAAAGCACTATATAAATCTAAATTATTATTATTATTCCATGTTTTCTCAAGGTGCTGTAATTAAAAAAAAAAAATCTGCTAATTGAAAATAACACTTAAAACTCAGCAAACAGTACCACACGTAGAACACACTTTCACAAGCATTACGTTCGGCTAATTATTGATTTTTTGGTGTCAAAGATGTGGGCGTCATACTAACCTGTGCTCGAGTTTTTTGATATTGTAGACTGAGGCAGATCATTATTACTAACACTGAATTTAGATTCTTTTTATGCAAAGAAAATAATGTTGCACAGTTTGCTTCCATTTTTGCACTCACCACCTTTATTTAGTATTTCATTTTTTTAAAATACTAAATACAGAGGATTGGCAAAAATATAAATAACCATACAATACAAAAAAAAAAAAAATCTGTTTTAGTTTAAAATAATATAAACTAACAAAGAAATAGCATAACTTGAGTATGCTTGTAAATTAATTGAAAGGTGCATTTAATTTTATTCGGATTATACTGTTTGTGTGTGTGTGGGTGGGAGTAAAACATCATTATCACCTGATTTCAGAGTTGTTTTTTGTTTTTTTGGTTTTTTTTTACAAATAGGCCTGAATTTGATACTATGGCAGTAAGAAGTCTAATATCCTTTATGCTTTTTTTTTTCGTTTTTTTTTCTTTCTATAGTTTTATCACTTATTGATGATTGATGAAAGGTGATTATATGCTCTCTGTTTTTTTTGTTGTAGTTCATTAAAAAATGTAATAATATACGTTAGAATTGGGTAAGTAAATCTGTTTCCTGACGATGCATACCAAAAATACCCAAATTTATTAAAAAATATTTTTTTAATATTAGAAAAACAATATTTAAGTAATGACGAAAACAAATAATCCTGTAATCCAAGACATAGATGCAATCAAATGCGAGAGGGTCATTAAATGCGTGGTGTCCCTAATGCTTATATTGATATTAATACAGAAAACTAGTGCAGAGAATAACACCAATAGTCTGTTTAGTATTGTTGATATTTTAAAAATATCCTTTAACATGCATCTATATTATAATTACGCTTATTTCAAAGCCCACACGGACACAATTCAAAACAGAGTTGCTAAAGAAATGTCTGGGATTCAAAACCTACCGGTCAGAACAACTCTTAAAAAATAGGTCATCAAATTGTCGATCACGCAAAGTGAATATCAATCCCTATTTCTGATTAATTGAGGTGAAATGTATTAATTTGATGCTGCAGAGGAATATCAGTCTTTGCAGATATCTTGTTATTTATTAAATAATTTATCTGTATAATTGTTTGGCCTAGGTAGTTGGGTATAAAAGAGTTATATATTGTTTTTTTTTTTTAAACATTCTTGATTTTTTAAAACGAGGGTAGAGTTGATAATGTCACGGCATAGTCTTCTTTGATTTATATACCAAAACAGCGGATTACCTGGTATGGTAGCAAATACCTATATTTACATAGCTATGTTCATTAAATGTATGTATATTAGTGTATTGTAACAAGAGAATATTTTGTTACTATGGACCTTTTTTTTTTTAACATTTTGGGTTTTTTTTAAACCAGGGTAGAGTTCATAATGTGAAGGCATAGTTTTCTTTGAATTATACCAAAACAGCGGATTACCTGGTATGGTAGCAAATACCTATATTTACATAGCTAGCTCATTAAATGTAGTTATGTTAGTGTATTGTAACCTTTCCTGTGTGTTAATCAAAGTTAACTGACCAATCACAACAAGGCCAGGAATACGCGCGTGTCCTACAAACACCTGTGTTGTCCCACAAACGCGTGTGTTTATACATAAATTTACGCATATTTTTTTGTGGGATGTTAGCATCAATATTCAAGGTGCGTGGCTTAGTGGAAATTTCCATTGGTAGCATGTTCATTTCCACACATATTATAAGTAGAGATAAGCCTAATATATTGGCGTTAAAATTTCATATTGTTCTCAATACACTGGCCTGCAGTCTTACGACTTAAAACATGATCTTAACGTAGGCCTATGTGAAAACAGTTATTCATTTTTTACCTGTAATGACCTTGTCAGTTTTTTTGGTCAGTTATTAAAATGATTTTGTCTACAATAGGTTTTACATGATACCAGTACTATTGATCTGATCATATGGCCGTCAGTGTTAATTAAGTGAGGCTTTACACAGTAGCTAAAGATTCTTAAAATTGAATGCATGGGCCAACTTGTTTAAAGGTTATAATACAGTATAGTCATGGCCCCATGACATTTTATAGAGTTCCATGTAGGTTAAAATTGATTATCCTATATTATGATCATAGGCCAGTGGTCTAAGTTAGGATACAAATTATTCATATTCAGAGTAGAAATTGTTAAAGTAATTCCAAATAGTTTTCTCAGAATCAGATGTAGAGGCCTGGTTTCCATAAGTTCACAACACGCTATCGCACCGACAGCGGTCGGCGACGTTGATTGGTCGGTTGAATAAATGGTGTCTTCGAATTGCGTTTGAGCATGGATAGCTGCACCCTGTAAAACGATTCAAAAGAAAAACACTGTCACGTAGCGAAAGAATAGCGATGTTATGGATAACGTTTAAGAGTAGTAGTTTGTGTGTGTTTATAGTATAATTTAAGACACTGAATGATGGGGGTTTATATATATTTGAATTATGGGCATAATTGTGTAATAATTATACGAGAATAACAATAAACATTCTATTGTATAATAAAAAATAAAGCGTGCCGTGTTCTTTTTTTTTATTTTTTAATGTGTATATACCTTAAAACCTCGAATTGAAGCCCAGTGGGCTTAATCTCGAGATGGAGCCCATCTCGAATTGAAGCTCCCCTCTTTAGTTTGCAGAATTAGCCTGGAAAAGAAGTCCATGGGCTTCTTTTCAAGACAGCATAGGCTTCTTTTCGAGATAGTACTGTACATACACTGTACATGGAAAGCTTGTTTTATGGCACCACCTAGGTGGCCGAAAAAGGCACTCTCATAATTCAATTTGAAAAAAAAAATAATGATAATTTTTCCTCCATTTTTTTTTAATTATTCATAAATATTACTCTCATAATTAAATTTGAAAAAAAAAATCATTTTTCCTCCATTTTTTATTTTTTTTATTTATTTATTTTTTTTTTTAAATCTGGGCCACTCTTGAATCAGCATGACTATTGATATTCCAGAACACAAGTGTGTAAAGTGGGACCCGTCAGCGATATTTTTTTGTTTTTTTTTTTTGGGGGGGGAGCCCGAAAATGAATTAAAAACCCTGTGTGTGCGGTCCGCCGCCGAGTAACATTGTCTAGAAAACACCTTGTTTTTGACGGCCCGACACCGACCATCTGTAAAAAGTAATATTAAAACTGGTAATAAATGTAAAAGCAATGCTTGGAGGATTTTGGATGCACACTGGAAACAACAACGTTTGAGCGCGGCCCTCGGTGTTGGATCAAAAAATCACTTTGGCCTTCCGATCTACCCCCTGCTCTAGAATGAGCATTGATCGGTTGTAGTCCTACTGTAATTTGAATTTTAGTTAGGCTTACTGTTTTTTTTTTGTTTTTTTTAATTTATTTCAAAAATAATTTTAGGTAGACCTTTTGTAGCCGATGTACGATTGGTAAAGGGACAAACATGCCCTTTGAAATTGGTAACCAACCTAGATAGTTAAAATCGTATTAATACGGCTTGAACGTATCGATAGGCCATAGCTAGACCAGTATCTTTGATTTTTAACTTTTTTTTTATTTATATTATATAAATTATAGTAGGCCTACTGTGTATACTGTAACTTACCAATATAAACTCCAGTATATAGATATGGTATTGCAGTCCTGTTCTATAAAAACAGGGTTTTTTTTTTTTGGTTTTTTTTTCTGGATATGGTACTAACCACAGGATGCCGTCGGTGGTAGGGGATGAAGGGATTTTTTCCCGTCTGGCAAGAATGGACACTCTCTCCCCCCCTCCCCACTCCCTTTGTGCGACAAAGGCGACATCGTCAGACCAGCAATCAGTGCCTATTATTTTGCCGAACTGCCATTTCCTAAATTTGTCGTCTAAAAACACACTTATTTTGAGTCATCTGAAACCATAAACCTCTTCCTATGAATCCAAGGGTTATATTCCGGGAGACCTTGACCGAGGGTATTGCACCTTGATTAGGAACCCTCAATTTGTTGGTGCCACCACTGACAACCCTGCCATAAGTACCCTTTCTCATGATTATTAAGATTCATTGAAAATGCCCAACATAATCTTCTGTTGTAGACAGTGGTGGCGGCAGGATTTGCCCGACGGGGAATCCGAGGTCGCCGACTGGGGAGGGGGCCCAATGTCCCAGACGAAGAAAGTGGGCGTGGCCAGGCGTCGCTCAAAATCTCGAAAGTGTTCCAGGTGTCGAAGCCCCCAGAAACATTTCAATTTAGGGGTTTCAATGGCTTATTTAATTCCCGACGAATTGAATCCTCGACCGGGACCCTGGGGTCCTAGTGCCCCTTGCCGGCCTCCCGCTGGTGCCACCTCTGGTTGTCGATAGATTGACTGGTTGTAATTAAGCTATTTTTATTTTAAAAAAAAAAAAAAAAAAAAAAAAAATCGCTTTTTCAAGTTCGACGCTATTCCATTACTTGAATATCTTATGTATTCAAATCGTGGGCGTCAGACGTTTGTTTATGCTAAAGCGTGTAAAGCCAAACTTGCGGAGAAGATTGGCATACCTGTGAGTCAGGTGGAACTATTAATACTACAAGGCAACAAAGGCGACAGCAATATAGCTATTGTAGTCAATGATTGCTTTTCGAATCAACGAATTCAAAGGTTCTTTTCTTTTGCCAACTATTTGAAGTCATGAGTCTCTTTAGGTTAAAAAATAACGTATTCGAATACACACGCAAGAGCACAACACACTTGGCCTATAACCAAAACGATAGGTTTACTGTTATACAAAGGATATGCCTCCTGATTAAAATTTGTATCATTAGAGCTATCATCGTCCTCATGGTCGGCGTCGTCATCATCATCATCATACTGTATCATCATCATTATGATTATGATTATTAACATTATGATATTTCTATTTATTATTACTTTATTAGCATGTATGGTCTATGAATGTAGGCCTCGCATAACAATAATAAACGGATATGAGCTGAATTTAATTTATTAGAAGATAAAAAGCATTATGTCATCAAATATAGATTCATATTTCTATTTCGGAAACAAAATGCATGATTTAAAAGAAAAATCTTAAAATTCAGTCCTATACACCTACGCTATTCTGCTATTTTTAAATGTCGGAATACTGTGTAATTTCTTTATGCCTTTCAAATACCGATTTTCAGTGATTTATGTGAGGTTTTTGTCTATTAACTTTACAGTTAAATATAAAATCAAAATGCTACAATTTTGTATTGTTACTGTAAAACTGTTTCATAAGACAATAAACCAAGCACAATGTGATGTAAACTTTACTGCGAGCTTTCGTCGATGTTATCAGCATGACTTAGTCAAGCCCAGTGAGCTAATTGTGCTTGATTTATAATATTCGAATTATTATATATCAAAATTTGATCTTCGAAAGGAAAAGGCGATATACGACTCTCCTTGTGAAAAAAAAAAATAGAAAAGAGCGTAGGTCAAACAACCGTCCTGTAACGTTTCGATGGTTCTATTCAATTCAATACGTACCCGAGTTAGTTTTACCTGTCAAAGTCAACAGGGGTGCAGCTCCAATATAGGGCTAATGTGACTATTCTCGTGGACATAAACACAGAACTACAGTCTTGTGCTGAGTTCAACAACTGATTTAGACCTGCTTGAAACTGTGTCTATGTCTCCATGACTAAAATAGGCCTAAAGACTCGAAGACAAAGGAATATTTTTAATTAGTATAATTGGAAATGGTAAGTAAAGAGTTACATTAAACAACAAAGGATTCAATAGAAGTGGCTCGTAGTTGATAAACGTATGCGATCCGTATTTTATATACAGCAGTTTTATATACTCGTTTTTAAAAACGTCTAATAGTAGATTATAGGCATATCAAACCTTCTATCACGGTGCCAATTTTGGTACCAATTTCAATTATCCGTTTATGTTGTTAAAATAACCAGTTTATTGGTAGGCCTTGTATAATTTAAAATTTGGTAGAGATCGATCCATCCAAGTTGATTAATAGAGAGGGAATGATGCCATTTGTAATGAAGAACTATACCATTGTTGGCCGCTTTAGTGTAAAATTTGGTAGATCGATCCATTTCAAATCGGATCATTCCTGGTATAATTTATATCGCATTTTAATAAGTGACAACACTGTATCTAGGTCTTGGTTACAAAACGAAAAACAAGCACGACCCCAACAGGGATTCGGCCATGGACCGTAGGCCTATGCTTTTTTTTTTTTCTTTCTTTCTTTTTTTTTCAATGTTCAATGTTTATTTCTACAAAACAATTGAATACAATACAAAAGTATAACAAATGGAGTGATTGAATTTGTGGAGGAGGCTGTATACGCCAATTTGACCTATTGGCTTTAAACCATTGCCCTCTTACATAATGGTATAAACTATATTATTGGACGAAAAGTCTTTTACATTTATTCAATGATTTCAATTATGGTAAATCAATAAATACAATGTGATAAATTTATACCATTTTTTAATATGAAAATGAATTACTCTTGGAGCTGTTGCAAACATACTTAACCACAAATTATTCTTTGATTATAATTAATGCATGACGAAAGTTAGAGAGAAATTAGATCTGTTGGATTCGACGGCTCGGTCCATCAATATCATCATAATAGCCTACCAATAGATAAATCTGAATAATATCACAACTGATTTCAATGACACCATTTTAGGCTAGGCCTCATATACTGTAACTGCCATTTTCGGTGTAACAATACTTACAAGCACATCCAGATGTTTATAGAAGTGAACTAATGCAATGAAATTTCAGGATAAATAAACAAACTGAAGCTTATGAAAGAAAGGCATGAACAAATAGATTTTAAAGAGGAACATGTAATAATTGTATCGAGATAATTGTAACGATAATTGTATCGAGCATAGCTCATTAACGAAAAAGTTCATATACAGTATATATTATATATATATATATATATTATATATATATATATTATATATATATATATAGCCTGTTAAAATTTGCCTCATATGTATAGAAGAAAGAAGTAGTCAAACGTCACTTTATTAATCAATAAGCTTGCGCTTTTCTTCAGAATCTACATGAAAAGTATATACATAAAACATAAAACAGTATATTGTACTGCATCCCAGCCTAGGGCACCCGTGAGAAAGCAACACTTGAGCACTACCGCAGATAAGAGATGGGGCAGGGTGTGGCCATTGCCCCAGGACCCAGGCTCCAAAGGAGCAAGGTACAAAACATTTGAAAAAATAATGTTGGCTCTCGGCTGCCTTGATTTGAACAGCAGTTTTAAACGGACCCATTCTGAAATGGTTGGATACCAGGTAAGGGTTCTAGAGCAATCTACGATTTTTAAGTGGCAGTTATATCATAATGCCTCAATATTATATTATTCACCTTAGCCGCACCATATTTTATTTTTTACCCACCCAGGCGCTCCTGGTGCCCGCTTAGGTAACTCAATTCTCATGCTGTAGAAGTAGAAATGATATGGGACGATCATGTTAAACTTTGTCCTTTATTTCCCCCCGGTGAGCACTATGAATACGTTGACCCATTTCCAATTGAGAGAAATGGAGCCTTTTAGATAATATCCGTTGTTGATAATCATGTGGAGTGGCTTAGAAAGAAGTCCAGAGGCAACTTGAGGATGGTATTGAAAATGATATCATTTTCTGATGACTTCTCTAATAATCAAGGTTGATCAGTCACTTTTCTATTGTCTTAGTGTCCGGGGTTATCGATCGGTTAATCATGAATACGTGCAAGTTTTATCATTATTAAAAGAAATAAATAAATGAAAAACTATATTGATTAGAAACCATGACAGTACCTTCTAGCACACTAAATATTTAGTCAATATTTTCTGAGTATTAGCATCTTATATCTACTTGCAGCGTGATCCATCTCCATAAATTATTGGTGTTAAACAACATATGAATTAGCAAGTTGGTTGACGTATTTATAATGTCTTCCCACGTACGGCAATGCCATTCGTACTTGTAGATCATTGTAAATAATATAAAACTTGATAAGCCTGAACTATAGCTCATATTTAGTCAATGCTAACATTTCAAGTTAATGTTAATTATTTGCCATTTTCTCTGCTCTCGCTTCTTTAATGAACACACATCATTATGTAGAGGCTTACACTTTTAAAATATAATTGCTTAACAAGGTTGGTTCTTTGCTTTTTTAGGCACTTTTACCATCTAGATGAACTTTCACGTAAATCTAGCATGATGATTATAATACGGAATAAACCATAAGCAAGTGAGCCTAGATGGTTTTTTTTTTCTATGTATTACTCTGGAGGCTTATTATCTAAATTCTAAAATGCACTTTAGATGTAGGCCTATAAACTTATATGACATCAAATATAATGGCATAGTTTTTAACATTCTCGACATAACTCATCAACTAGGTGAAATAATTGGCTATCTTTAAACTATTATTAGAGCGGGACATGGTTTTAAAATTATTATAGGCCTAATCCTAGAATTCAGTAAATCGTTTGCATTCAAGGCCTTGAGATTAGGGTCTGACGAAAATGCTATAAGTTGCATAACAGCAATAGTAACCTTATACTTCTTTACTTACTTATTATGATAGAGACTCTAAAAAGCAATGCTTAAAAGTGGAGGTGGAGCAAATTTTCCCCGAAAGTCCACAACCACCTCAGCCGCACCATATTTTATTTTCCCCTACCCACTTGCTCTCCTGGTGCCCGATTAGGTAATCCAATTCTCATGCTGTATGGTTACATCAAAATAGAAAGACAATTAGGCATATGAGGGCTTCGCAAATTCCACAAAGGATTTTAATCAGGCCCTATTGAAATTGAGAGAAAAAAAAATCATAATACAAATGAAACAAATTCAGAAAGTCGAAGTTCAATTTTCATTGTATTTGTGTATGTTTAGACTAATATGTCACAGGATCAACATGGCTAGGACCATGTTTCAAATCAAAAGTGATCATGAGATAGCGCCGTCTTTTTTTCTTTTTTTTTTTGATTGGCATATGAATTATTGTTTGATTAATAGCTGTCCCTTCTGAATGTGCATCGTATACTTGATTTTGAGAAGCTGTGAAGTGGGGTAGGGGGCGGAGTCCAGCATAGTGAAACAATTCTTGGTTAGTTGTTTGCATTAGCCCTATCAACTGTGTGATTGTTTAGTGTGTGTTTTAAAATGCCGGTCAGTCGAACCGACATTGCAAAAAAATTAATGCCACGCGATCAGAGACGAACAGGAATTGGATCTTCAACATAAAACATGTTTGTAAATTTTTAATGAAAAAAAACCCTACATATTAAAATTTAAAACGTTATACAATTGCTTGGACAATGCATTTTCTTTAAACCTGCACTTGAGTTATTTATTAATGTACGGTATTTCTAGCAAAGAGGACACTTTTCTACTTTATAATTTATCAATTATTTAAATACATAATATAAAAATGTTACATTTTTCTCTCTTTAATCTCTCCGTAATGGCTTCCTCTTCAAGCCATGCCAGCAGATACTCTAAGTTCATAGCTAGGTATACCTTGCGATTGAACATATTTCAGCTTTTTAATTTCTTTTCTCTAACACTCCTACTTTATTTTATCCTATTTTGTGCTGTACATTACCGTTACTGTAGGTTCATGTTGACAGTCTAAGTTGCCTTGAGGATTAATTATCCACATAATTGTGTTAAATTTTCAGCCTAATACCTGTAGAAATGTAAAACGATAGAAGTAAGAATATTGATGAGAAGAGGTTGACCTTACCCTTTGCATGCAAGACATTTACTAACATCAATTGAGTTGCGGTACTATCCCGTGGGCATTGTCTGATTGGCGTTGTACGTGCATTAGATATTTAACATATTCCGACCTACATTAATGTTACTTAGTCATTGATTCTTTAACACTTATCAAAATAATGATGACTATCTAGTAGTAATTTTGTAGTTGTTTATTATTTTATTGCTTAATAACTGAATAATAATATTACTAATGATAATAATAATAAACATTATAATAGTACATGTCATAATTTTTAAATCCATGGTCGGTCAGTCTTCATTTTTTTTTAACTATACGACCTAGGCCTAATTCTAGAGTTGATTGTCAACAATAACACATTCCATGCATTTTGGGTTGTATTATGGAGGCCAAAATTTACGGTTAAATTTCAATCATTTCTTTAATACTAGCTTGAAGCCTGGTCATCTAAGCTATCAAACAAGTATTTGTAGTATCTCCTTAGATAAAAACTATGTGACTATTTTCAGAAACACTATGGTTGTAAGAAGAAGGTAACCTAGAAACAAAACTCCGTTTACAAACACAAACTCGACTGAAAGGAACACCAAATACATGCGAAGACCGTAACACTCGACAATTAACATAAAGACCGAACAGATGGACAAAATTAGAACTGAATTAACACATCTATAGAAAAATAACATATTAAACAAAATATCTATCAGTGGGCGGCAAGCGATCACGGAGGTACCCAAAACAGTTGTCAAAGAATCTGTTGAACTTAAAATAAAATTTATAAATTCGATTTAACTTAGAATTTGAGGCAGAACTAAAATAACGCAACGATACTCTAAAGGTGAGGTAACTAAGGTACGATAGGTGAAATGATAGATTTTGGACTCTTAATATTCCGACAATTTCTCCAAATGAAACCAAGCATTCTGTTTGCCTTGCAGATAATATTATCAACAATGGTAATTTAGTCAATAAATATTATCAACAATGGTAATTTAGTCAATAAATAAGCCTACACCAAGATCACGATAAAGCAAAACTTCCTCTAATAAAACATCCGCAATATTATAATTAAAATGAACATGTTTATTTGTTAAGGGAAATAAACATACATTTACACTTAAAAACGTTTAAGGACATACACAGCACCTACTCCAACGGAGGACAGCTTCCAGATCATCCTGAAGACACTCGCATCCTCTGTGCTAACAACACGACACAGTTTTAAGTCATCGGCATATATAAGGCAGTGTGATTATTGATAAAATTAGGAATATTTTTAATAAAATAAGTTTTAAAAAGTGGTCCTAAAGTGTATCCCTATTAATTAAATCATAAAGAGAACCAATAATACAAAAAGTTTTAATTATATATACTGTCTGTGTATAAGAGACAGCGAACATACTCTCATAATAATATGCGTTACAGTTTAAACATGCTTTACTTTAATATATTGTTATACTTGATGTATGTTTGTATTTCTTTGTCAGAACTGAATTAGAAAAATGAATGACGGAGATATAATAGATTTACCAGTTAACGACAGATTTCTGAAAGCTGTCAAGGATGGTGAAATCAGTGATATCGAATATATTTTGAACAATAAGGATACGAACGAATTGAACATAAACCATCGCGATAAGAAAGGTCGGAATGCTTTGGTTATTGCTGTGAATAATGGCACTTTGTGTAAGTTATACTCATCAATTATATTCTAATGACAACAAAAAATGAGTTTCATTTTGTAATTTGTCTATTCGGTTATTTTAAAATGTTTGATGACTCTTTACACTTCTCTCTAGACATAACCTATGGATTCATTACAACGTCTTAATATATAATTTGTAATCTGATGACTTGGTATTATAGTTTTTATTTCAAACTTCAGCTTTAGTTTTATAAAATGTTATTTAACAACTAGCTTGTTGACCTTTCTTTGATTACATTTTTATTTCTTTCACCTCCAAAAGCAAGCATCGAATACGGCATAGAATGAAGCTTTATAAACTAAGTCTCTTTATGAGGGGCTTAGGAAATTAAACTGTAGTCGTGAGAAGAAAAGTATAAAGAAGAAAGAAAGGAGAGAGAAAGAAAAATCTATTGAAACATGTCAATGACGGTTTGAACCCGGGACCCTGGGATTTGACGACAAACGTTTAAAACCATCAATATATTCACCTCCAATACATGTTAACATTGTAATTAAGTTATTGTCAAATTATTATTTTTTAGTGATCATCAAGACATTATTAAAACATGGTATCAACGTTGGAGACAGCCTATTGAGGGCGGTTGAGTCCCAGTTCTTTGAAGCTGTTGTACTGATATGCAATCATACGAAATCACATCCTGTAAGTTTTTTTGTTTTGTTTTTTTATATTGAAGTGAGTCCAGCGTTGATGTTTTATATATTGTAGAAATCAACAGAAATTGTGTTGTCAAGTAAATTAATCCGTTAGCAATTTTAACGCAATAGTACAATTGGATTGGATGTCTTTGGTTTGATATACACACCAACTAAGGATAACCCACGATAGTCCTAAAAATAATTTCCAGTGGGGTACTTCTGGATGTGAATTTTGCAATACACCGAGAGACAAACCCCTACTCTTTTTCGAAGAATGTACTGAGTTGTTTAACGTGCACATGAACCATTTTGCACACGAAATAAACGGTTTAAACGTCTTACCCGAAAGACAGTGCGCTTTTGACAGTTCTCGGACCAGGTGCAACACAAGGAGAGCAGAGATGGTATGTGAACCGGGGGCTAAGGTATCTCCACGGTTTAGCGCGGAAACAGAGCTGGTTATCACCAGTTTAGTCGACTGAGTTAGATGCTCCAAAACAAATACGTATTATATAGACAGTGATATTTGCATTGGTACACATACAAAGAAAATAGTAGCTATCAGAATCTTTTAAAAAAGGATCTTATAAACTGACGTCCATAATGACGCACCAAAAGCACATTAATATTGTGTACCGCAGGCGTTAAGTGTACATAGCTAACGACAATACTTATTGATAATATAACTATTACAGTATTTTGTTTATTGAGTTTGGAAGGGTTATAATCAAATCATCCACATTTTTTTCTGCAGGAGGATCGGGAAGCCATCATCGAATGTCACACGGAAAATGATGATTTTCATCCCGATATTACTCCCATTATTCTTGCAAGCCACCATAACAACTACAAAATCATAAAGGTAATTTTCACTTGTTCAAACACCTGCTTGCGTGGGGACAGGTGGGCAGAAACTCTGACATTCGTATATTTTTTAATGATTTGCAAAATTTTAACCGTCGAAATTAAAAGAACGCGTAGGCCTAATAACGATTTTATAAAACCTTATCTTACGCAAGCTTATGTCACGAAGTCATGAAAATGCCAGGGCAAAAGTTAAACCTTCTTTCTTATTAAGCTGTAAAACAGAGTTATCCTAAATGTACTTTTAAAAGAATATGTACAGAATGAAGTCAATCTGGTAAGGCATTGGTTTACAATTGAACACCACAACACAACTTGTATAATTTAATGTTTACTGTGAGCAATACATAACAAAATTTAAAAAAATACAATAAAACTTCAGATAAAATTATTGCATGAACTATTGTTTTTCGGCAGATTTGAAAAGAAAAAAAAATACAAATTCTCCAATGTTGTCAAATGACATAAAAAGATAATTACAAATTTGAGAAAATGTAAGTGATTCATCAAGAATTACTTCAGAACTATACGGACAGATGTAAGGAGTTTGATAAGTTTCGCCACTAGCTATAGAGATCAATCAAACTTCGATTAAAAAAGCAATGAATGTTTTTAGAGGTAAATTTTAAGACACTTTGTATCAATTTTATTTATGCAGCATTGTTGCAATTCCCTCTGTGGCAAGGTCAAATGAAAGATACACTTCATAGATATTCATTTCATATATTCATAATTATATAGGAAACATAAGATGTTTTCAACAAATTAATGAGATATTACGAAGAAAGTGAACAAGCGCACTCTTTTGAAGAACACCATATCGAATTCGTTAAAGGGGATTGAATCACGAGTAGTGACTATTGTAAAACGAGATAAAAGTAAAATAAATTAATTTGGCCCACTTGTTTTCATCTTAAAACAAACATTGTTAGCTACTGAATTGTGCCTTAATTGTTGTATTTTGAAGGTTTTGTTGAAGTACGGGTCCACTATTCCTGACCCAGATACATCTGATTTTCTTCGAACCGAGAAGCATACTCTTCAGAGATCTGTCGGTACACTCAATATCTACCGGGCTCTTGCGAGTGAGGCTTATATTTCACTTACAAGTACAGATCCAATCGGCACTGCCTTTAGTATGTGCGACCGCCTTCGAAGTCTAAGCAACCAGGAGTACGAGTTTAGAGCCGAGTATAATGAGCTTGCCGAACAAATGGAACAGTATGCAGCTGATATTCTAGGACAGGCCAGAAGTTCTGAAGAGGTAATTGGTGGAAATGTGTGTTGGCTATTAGATGCTGTTTATTTAATGAGCGTTTGGATCGTGTGTTGACACAACCATCATCTTGATACAAATTTGTATGCTCTGAGGTATTATCTTGTAGATTAGAAAACACTGTAAAATTACAATGTTATTTTTATTTAGTCATACTTCATGATCACCAAAATGCAGTCACATTCAACTCACAGGTTATAGGCCTAATCAAGAAAACGTACTATCTACAGTACAATATCATGGCTTCAGTTGAAATACCTTCAGAAAATTCATCCATGCTTTCTGTGTTGGCAAAGTATATACCGGATTGTTGTGACTTTTTATTGAATTTTCTAGGAGAGGTCTTATTATTTCCTCCATGGTATTATCTAGCAACTTTCTGTTTTGGCAATTCGCTTGATAACTTTACTAGGACATGCCTTATCTAGCATTTCATCATATTTCGTAAACTTATTTTCATTTTTATCTTTAGCTCATGACCAATGATCCCATCATTCCTCCACCGGATTTACTCTTACTAGGTCAAGCTGCAGAGACAAACGATAACTAAGTGTCTATCTGTCCCCCCTGGGACAGCAGACACTAAAACTACATCAGCCTATATATCTCCAATAATAATAAACGGCCTACTGAACTGGAATATTAACGTAACGTAACACAAATTGCTACAAGTTGCGTTTTAATGAGTTTTGCTTGTTATTAATAAATGGTTTTACTCTTCAAGTCATCTACAGTTTTGACGCATCAAGAGGACAAACTCTATGACGTCATAGATCAAGGACTTGATCACTGTCAACTTTACAAAGTATTTGAGGCGATTAACGTAGAACAGAAAAAGGTACAGTTCTATGTATTAGACGTAGAATTTTTTCAAACACTATTTATTACATTATATCATATTATTATATCATTGTTTTAGTAGATAACTTGGCATACACAATACATTGCTCATTTGATAATTATATTTCGGCTTTATTTATTTTCTCTAGTTTGTTGCGCATCCTCATTGCCAGCAACTGTTGATAAAGCGATTTTACGGACAGTTTTCATCCGTTCGAGACTGGGGAACCATAAGTCAACTTGGTTTTAGTCTCACAGTTATGGTCTTATTTCCAATTCTTTCCATTATCTATTTGTTTTGTCCAACCAGAAGGTTAAAGTTTACAATCCGTACACCGTAAGTACTTCCAACTTTAAAAAAATCGTGTGTACTGTATATGAATTGGTAGGCCTACTCGTCGATTTTCGTCAATACCATAAATACAGTAATATGCCTAGGCCTATGTATGATTTTTATAGGTACATTAAATTCTTGATGGATGTGGGTTCGAAAATGTATTTTCTGTCATTTGTTTTGATGACGACAGCAGTATCGAAGCCGATTACCGAAGTTGATGCCGATTTAGATGATCAGAACTTTAGCCAGCTTCCGAATTGGTTACTTGGTATCATTCTCGCTTTTGTGTTAGGTATGAACGTGGTTTAATTTTCTTTATAATTTAATATATACCGGTACTGTATATTCTCTTGTACATTCAATATATCTGTCTATTTACAAAACAATCTGAACTTTAATTTTGTAGAAATAAAAACGCTTTAGTTATAGACCTAAATCGCAATATTGTCACTATTGTAAAGTGTAGAAGAGAAACAAATTAGGCTAAACTAGTTGGATGTAGTGAGATTGGATTGATTAAAACACAAAGGGTAACAATTAGAGATTAAAATCCCTCTTAATGCAAAGTATCGGTGTCATAGGCCCAGCATAATTGTAGGTGCGAAATATTTATAAATCTAAATTGAGAAAGTTAGTGAATGAAATGATGAAATAATAAAAAGCGAATTAAAATACATTGTCACTGAGATTCAAAACTGATCATCTTAATTATCACCAGTAGAGGAGTATATCAATACTAAAGTCATTATGAGATACCCATTGAAACTTACGTTGAAACTAATCTCCATATTCAACCAACAAGGTTTAACGTGGCACGAGCTCAAACAGGTGTACGTAAGTGGGTGGCAGCGGTTCAAGAATGACGGTCAAAATTTCATGGACTTCGTTTTACTAGTTCTATACTGGAGTTATTTGATGCTTACATTGATGTCATACCTTGACGTAAGTTCACTTTCAGATTTCCATTTCAGATAATAAATGAGTTAATGGACCTTCCGCTAAGTCTAACCCACCCCTTGGATACTGTTGCTAATGTCCCAAAAAGCTATAGGTCAGGTTCAAACGAGAGCCCTAGTATCCGGAACGGTTAGCGCTAACGGTTAACAAGATCCGGATACGCTAACGATTAGCGAGCGCTATCGGTTAGCAAGTTGAGAATGTATCTATCATTAACCATTCACAAGTACGCTTTTACAATTTTCAGTTTCCTATTGGCCAGTGATCACACCGTCATCTTCCTGGTATCCGGATCGGGATTTGTCTTGTATTAACGCACGGCATCTAACGGTTAGCAGGATCTATGTGTGAACATAGCCCTAGTGTTAAAACGCAAACACGTGCGTTTTTGGGACAACATGTGTGCTTTTTTAGACACGCGCGTATACTTGGCCTTGTTCTGTTGGTCAGTTGTTAAGTTTGATTGACACTTCATAAAAGGTCCATTATATAATGATAGGTAAAATTAAATGATGGATCACTGGCGCGTCTGCTACGAATGACAAATAATGCCAATTAATTTCAATTAATCGAGCTGTTTTTTATTTATAACAATAGCTACGGCAGCAGATCGAAGTTAATAATGCAGAAATACAAGATTTACAAGTTCGCGACCTGACGGTTGATCAGTTGGATGAGTACCTAACAAACATTACGGTGCCAGACCTCAAGCAATATATCTCTTCCTCTCTAAGCAACACAGAGTTAAGCATCAACGCACATACTAAAGAACAACTCACTCGAGTATTGACAGAATTAATGAACAATTTATCTTGCAATGTGCCTGTAGACACATCACCCAGTGTTATCACTGCTGACTCAGTGTCTTACTACAGGTTGAGCCTCGATCCATTCCACCCAGCTTTGGTTGCTGAGGGGCTGTATGCTTGCGCAACTATCATTGCCTTTCTTCGTCTTTTAAACTTATCTGTGGCAAGCCCGCTCGTGGGACCTTTACAAATCTCGTTAGGAGGAATGCTGTTGGATATTGTAAAGTTCATCTTGGTTTTCGCAATCATCTGGTTTGCATTCGCGCTTGGTCTGAACCAGGTTTACCAATACTACGAAGATGTGCGCCATCAAGCATGTATTGCTGAGAATGGCGAAGAAAACTGTCGTGTCGGTCCGTTCTTTGAGTAAGACTGTTAAACTTATATTACCATAACGGTTAAGAAAAAGAAAATCAGTGAATAATGTAATTAATGAAATACTAGGCATAGGTATTATTCTGTACTCAAAACAAACTCGAGCAAAAAGTATAAACAGTGTATAACAATATGAACTATAAGCAAGCCATGATCATAACCATGACGCAATTATTTTCTTTTCATAGAAAGTATATCATACACACATCAATAT